TCTATACTCTCTCACGCTATATTTCTGTTCGCGCACACAATTGCTAACTTTACTTACTGCTGCTCAGATTGATATACTTATTTCAAGAGCAGCTGATATTGCTTTTGAAGCTACTCTGCTCGATCTCGATACAAGATTTTTGTTCACTGGTGTAAACTTATGGTATTTCAAGTATTAGTATATTTTTATTTTTCGTTTTAGTTTCATATTTTTTTATATAATGTTTTTTTTATTTTTTTTTTTTTTTGGTATTTAATTAGAAAATCCTTACTTTTCCTCTAACAATTATTTAAAGAAACATTTAATTTTTTTATATAAGCTTGCAGAAGTAAAAGAAGCAAACTTCTTAAAACACACGAAAAGTTTTGAAAAAGTTTACAAAGTTCTTTAAAAAATACAAAATTCTTAAAATATTCAAAGAAGAATACTACGTTTTTCAAAAAATACAAAATTACAGAAAAAAATTTTATTCGAAAATTTAATTTTTGTTTGAAAATAAATTTTTTAGTTATAAAAATACATTTGCAATTTTTATTTACAATATAGAAATTCAATTTTTTTTATATTTAATAATACAAATTTTATATTAAATTTTTAATTTAGTTTTTGATGCCCGTGAGCAAGTTTTACTTAAAAATACTTAAATAAGTTTTAATTAAAAATACTTAACTTACTTAAATAGACTTATTGTTTTTCATAGAAAACGATATGCTTGGGATTAAACTTTTTTTATTTCAAACCGGTTTTTGAAATTAAAAACTAAAAATAAATTTTTAACCTCGCCCAAATTTTTTGTTATTATTTTTAATTCCGAGATTAAGAATTTAGAAGGAAGTATCTAGAAGGATGTTGCGGGAGTGTTGCTTTAGATTCACGAAGAAGTTATCCGATATACATATGTATATAGAATACACATCACACACATCGGAGAAGCGGCTGGTGAGAATGAGTGAGAGTCCATCTAAAGCGCCTCTAGAAGCTTTCAACTGCTTTTCTTCATAAAAATATATTTAAAGTATTGAAGTATATTCAGCATTGTATTTTGCAAAATAGAAAATTTCACATGTCCTTATATAGTGTTTTGTACATGTCGGAATATGGTAATGGTCACAAACTGCCTTTGTTTTTATTATCGATCTTAGCAGTTTTCACACCGCCATTTCAAAGTGTTGTTCTGTGGCAGGAAAAGAAAGTGATGAAAAATATGTGAAAACAAAAAAAAAAAACACGTTAACTTCGGCTGCACCGAGGCTAATATACTCTTAACAGGTGCACTTCTTTTAGTAACTATGTGTTCAGTTTGTATGGAAGCTATATGCCATAGTAATCCGATCTGAACAATTTTTTCGGATATTATGTTATTACGTTAAGCAGTAATCCATGTCAAATTTCGTGAAGATACCACGCCAAATGTGAAAGTTTTTCATACAAGAATTTGATTCCGATCGTTTGGTTTATATGGCAACTACATACCATAGTGAGCCGATCTGAACAATTACTTGCGATAATAAATTAGTTTTATGAACAATAGCTTATACCAAATTTCGTGCAAATCTTCGCCAAATGATTAAGTTTCCCATGCAAGCATTTGACTCCGATCATTCAGTTTGTTTGACAGCTATATATATGCCATAGTTAACCAATCTGAACAATTCCTTCAAAGATTACATTGTTGTCCTAGAAAATAATATATACCAAAATTTGGGGAATATATCTTGTCAAATGCAAAAGTTTTCCATACCACCGCTAGATTCCGATCGTTCAATTCGTATAGCAGCTATATGCTATATTACGCCGATCTGAACGATTTCTTCGTATATTACATTATTGTCTTAGAAAATAGCCTGTGCCAACTTTTGTGAAAATATATTGTGAAATGTGAAAGTTTCCATACAAGAACTTGATTCCGATCGTTCAGTTTGTATGGCAGAGATATGTTATAGTGGTCCGATATCGGCAGTTCCGAAAAATGAGCAGCTTCTTGAAGGGAAAATGACGTTTACAAATTTTCAAATATAAAAAAATATATACACAGACAGACGGACATGGCTAAATCGACTCAGCTCAACATACTGATAATTTATATATATACTTTATAGGGTCTCCGACGCTTCCTTCTGGGTGTTACAAACTTTGTAACAAACTTAATATAACCTGTTCAGGGTATAATGAACTAATTTGGAACAAAAACTAATTGTGTAAGCCTACCTGTATTGCTGGACAACGCTTGCCACTGCAGGAACCTATTTGAAATTTATCAAGTCCATTGCAGTTTTAATTGTAGAATTAATTTTTGTTTTGCATCGGCTTTGTAATTGCTTATGCGCTAGCTCCATAAAGAATTCGAATAGTATCGCCAATTTTGCGTATCTTAGCCTCTTAGCGCGAGTCCGAGAATCGTCAAAGTGTTTAAAACGGCATAATTGCTCAAACCGATGCAGTGACATCACTGCTCTCTAAAAGGGCATGTTCGTTTTGTGAAAAAGATCCTTAGTATGTACTAAGTTTGCCTTCTCCGCACCGGAGTATTAAATTGTGAATATAAAAGAATTGCTCATCCGCATTTGTGTGTTGCCAATATCATGTTTGTTTTGTAGCTTTACTATTCATCAGAAGAAACGCGTATGAAGGTATCGCTTTCAGTTCCACAACTTTTCGTGCATAATGGCTTTGATTGTCTACCCATTTCCAATGCCATTTCATAATGCCGTTTTTTAGTTTGGCTTGGCTTTGACCACCATACAGTTTGATTGTTCCTTTCCTGACCACAATATGTTTTTCCACGATTAACAATTTAAATCTGCTTTCGTAATGGTCCATATGTATCTACAACAGCCTCCTTGTAGATGTATTCTTATTATTCGGCATATGTTCTGTATGGCATTTTCATAGATTTTTTATTACATACCAGCTATGAAAATTCTATAAAGCCCTATCTAAAAAGCCAAATATTTCGAGATGTATTAACGATAGCGATCTTGACGTAGGACCCCCTTTGTAGCAAATAAAATTTCCTACAAGTTTGTTATGTAGCTCTTGCCATTTATGAGATATATACAGAAAAATGCGAATTTCGTGGAAGAATCAGGTTTAGAGCCCTGTATTACCTAGCCGGTGTGAGTTTCGACTCTGTCGCAATGGGCACTTTTGTAGAGTGTTCAATTCTGAGGAATAAGTGTCTAAAGTCAAAGCGATGCTGTAAAATACTTCTGAGTTATAAAAATTTAAAGATAAAAAATCACGATTGTCGTGAATTTTCAAAGAAAAATGTTTACATACCTTGCTCTTGTTTTTAATGTTAATATTAAGAGCTCAAAATTTCAGGGAATTTTTTCTATGGTATTTCCAAAGAAATTTCATGATGGAATTGGAAAAATTTAATAGTTCAAAAAACAAAAACACCCTAACACATATATTGTAAAGAAATAAGCCATAAGTAACATCAACGCTTCCACTATCTTCATATTGTATTAGAAAAATAAACTTTACTTGAAATCAAATAGTTTGTGAGGAAATCCGCCGACTAAAATTTGCCTTGTTCGAAACTTTCGCGAAATTCGCCGTTATAAAGTTTCGCATACAAGAATGTTGTTATGGTCGACTGAAGGTGTGTTTCAAACAAATTAGAGAAACAATGAAAAAAAACTACAACAATATCTACCACTGCTTATCCCCAGAACAGAAACTAACGCAATAACAAACAGAACAGCAGGCAAGTTACTAAACGGTATAATGCACAAATTGTATAAATTTTTCGGCCTGATTTCCGTGTCCGCTCAAGGCTATCGAACGCAAGAATGAAACTAAAACAGTAATAGCGCAAGCAAGCACCACAACAACAACTACAAAACGTGCTCACTGCAAGCTGTTGTAAACTTTCTAGCGGCACCAACTTGTGCCTGATACACGCTCACCAACCGTCAGACGCGCCGGCGGCTCAGCTTCACCCACGCGCTAGAAGAAACTCTGCAGTCGCGCCATAAGCCTTACGCTCGGCTGAAATGGTTTGGCGTCGCGGTCGAATAGACATACTGGAATTGCGTTTTAAAGCTGTGCGCAGTTGGAAAGTAAAATTTCGAAAATAATTTTCTCAACACCCACGCGTACAACCTTTCCACACCGCCCATCTTAAAGGCAGCGCAATTGCTCCTATTCCATTAGTGTTGCGCTCAAGTTAGTTGCCATGCATGGCTCCAGCACCGCTTATTTGCTTTAAAATTGTCGGTGTGTAATATACACCTCATTTTGCCTTTTATTCACGGCATAAAAATTTAACTCTAAATGTTTAAAAAGCATTACAAAAACAAATAAACAAACAAATGCCATTTAAGTCGGCGTCGGGTGCTTGTAACTTTTGTGCGCCGCTGCTGCCGTTGCCCAAAATACTCGAGCATCATTACCATAACGGTCTAATTTGAATATAAGTATGCCACGTTTACCGTTACAACGCACCAACACATTTTTCGTGTATGTGTGCACATTTATGCGCACTTAACAGCGCCGCGAGCTGACTTTTATTTTCCCATTCTCGCGCCTCTGCCATAAAGCCACCTCACGCTTCCCTCTTTCCTCCTGCGCGCCACACATATCATTCGCTCCGTTCTTTGCATATTTCCCTTGTTTCATTTGCTTTCTTTATCTGTTTGTTTTCGCCAAGTGTGTTGTGTGCTTTCAGGCGTCGCTCAACCACCCAAACAACCTATTCACAAACCGTGCGTCTACGTTTTGCCTAACAGTTATGCAAATATTGCATTTAGTGTTGTGTTGGTTTTTCATTATTTTTGTTGTCGTGTGCGGGCTGTCATCATTGGTGGAACACCTTTTTTACATTAAAATTTTCGTTCATTTATCTAACAGTATTGTTTGATTAAAATTTTCTTGTTTATTGTTTTTATCTGCTGACTTAATGTGTATAAAAATAGAAGAGCGTGTCTTTCTAAATTAAGAAAATCATCTAAATTTCTTTAGTAATTTAACTATTTTGTATTTTATTTTTTCAGGTTAAGGTTCCATATAACAATGTCGGAGCATAGCTGGTAAGTTGCATTTTCAACTTTTGCTTGCTATTTTCTCTTATAATTTTTTTTTTTTTTTAAGAAACAAAATAATATTAATGAAGTCCTTTTTCCATATCAAATATCTTGCTACTTTAAGTGCAATATTATCAGACAATTAAAGTGCCTTCAAAAATATCGTTGAATGATCTCTTAATTTTATATTCCTCCAATAACCGTTGATATTTTTCCGCGCTCAATGCAACATGTTTTCACTCAGTGATTTTGAAGTAGTGATTTGATTACAATATTACTTCGGTTGATGCCAAATCTTATATTTATTGAACGTATTTGGAATAAATAGAGATAGACGAATGTAGCAATCCCTTTAGATGTATCGGGTTTTCCTATGCGAATGATATGATTTCTAAGTGTTGTTTTCTCCAGGTATTTCGAATTAGCTCTTCAGAAGAATATTTGACAACAGAGTAGAACGTACTCTTTTATCATAACTAAAAATAAAATTAAAACTCCAACGAGTCAAGTAGGTGTAAATTGATATAATCCTTAGTAGATTTTTAATCTGTGATTGTTTTTTTTTTTTCATTGTGTTCAGTAATATTTACAATTCAGTCATGGAAAGGTTGAAGAACAACGCAAGAACAACATTTACAAATAATTAAATTTTTTATTTCTTTTGTCTGAAAACACAATCCGGCAGATCTTGAGGAAAGATTTATGCTTGGCTTAATTTTTTTCACTCAAGAACTGAAGCCATTTGGTCCACCGTAAATGTTGTGAATTTATTGATTTTGCTTTGAGACAACTTGAAAACAACAAAGAATTTCTTTTAATCATCGTAGGAGAGGCTCACTTTCATCTGAGTGGTGCGGTAAATAAAAAAAAACTTATGGTTCTGGTGCAAAGAAAAGTTATTCATAAGCAATTATTGAAATCAGTATTGGAACAACGTCCCTACAAATGTAGTCAACTATTATCTATATGTTATCTATACTATATATATAGAGTTGTATTATCAAGAGTTGACTTTTGCCCGAAAATATCCCTCAATGTGTGAGATATATAATTGAATGCTGGGGGAATCCTACCCTGTTTACCCCCATATTCGGAACCTAGGGCCTTGAACTTTTTTTGTTCATAAAGTGGCATACTATACGGAAATTATTCGTGCAAAATGGTATTCCGTTATGAGTACAGTTGATTGTGTACAGTATCAATCCAAGAATCAAGTGGAGTTTTTAACTGTGTTATATAGGATGAAGAGGGGGTGGTTGTAGTCCAATACCGATATCGATATAGGAATATGAGAGGAGTGTCACGTAGCAAATTTAATTGAAATCGGTGGGTCGGGTCCCGAGATGTGTGATTGTTCAAGTTTACACCGGCTCCCATAAAGCTTTTTCATATCGCGCTTTTCGTTTTTTTTTTACAGTACCGTTATAGGCGCGTGAGCAGGGTTATCTTCCATTTGCAGGTGTGGCAGTGTTCCGATTATGCCCATCTACGAACTCGTAATTGTTTTATACTAAGAACAACCGTGTACCAAGTTTCTTTAAGATGTCTAAATTTTTACTGAAATTACAGCTTGCACGCTCGGACCGACGAACAGACAGTAATTCAGATTTCAACTTTTCTCGTCATCTCGATCATTTAAATATATGTAACCCTTTTTCTATCTCGATTATTTTTAGGTGTTACGTACAACCGTTAGGGAACCAGACTATTACTCTCTGTAGCAACGGGTTTAAAAATTATAAAAATACATCAACATTTTTTGGGTAACGCCGTTGAGTTTTTTGGAATATTATTAATAATATTTGTTTACCAATAAAAAAAAAATTCCCGATTTTCTCGAAAATACTGTATTTCTCCTTATCAAATTGTTCCAAAAAAAAAATTTAATTTCGAAATTAAACCAATTGTCTGACGAATGAAAGTCGATTTTTTTGATCTCGTATGATTCTGCATCTAGTTACGAGAATCACCGCAATTCTACTTTTTTCCAAGAAATGCCCAAGTAATCTCCACACTGCTCACTTGTTAGTACCGTGTTTGCGAAATCAAAACTGAAGCACTTCGGAGCTCACACTTTCAGGTATACCATCGAGCTAATTAATTTCAGTTTGAATATTGACTCCAAGTACAATATTTTAGCGGTAAGAGCCCAGTCTTCTCTCTGACTCGTTAGACAAGATGAACTTTTAGGGTAAGTGAAAACAATCTCGTGTAGATGTAATAGTTTCACGTCCCGAGAAATATTTATATAAAATTATAAAGTTATTATTGTAATTAAAATAATCAAAATAATTCCATAATAAATGGGGGCAGGCTCATATTAACTTTCGCTAATGCCTGTAAGTACTTGCAGACTATACATACCAATAATCTTGGTTACTAATATATGTTTAACTTACTCCATACAATCAGCCAGATATAAAATTTCCAAATCCTTGAAACAGATTCTCATTTTGATAGCATCATCTCCCACCTTGGCAGAATAGTACAGAGGCAACTTTTTCGAGGAAGTGTGTCTGATACAATTTTGCTATTTACTACAACAACTAAAGATAAATAGAGGCAAAAAAAGGCAGTCGAAAATACTGCTTGCCTTGAATAATGAATGTTGCATCAACTGACTTTCATTATCATTTATTAACAACTCTTTAGCGAACTGACAGTAAAATGACAAAGAAGTTGCTTACGATTTCCTTACGCAAAGAAGAAAGCCGTTAGTACTTATAGATATCCGTAGAAGCTTCTTTGTATTCTGCAACGCTAGCTTATAATATATTGCACTGTTATGGGCAGCCATTACACACAAATACTCGTAACAAGCAAGGTTTAAAATTTTTGCGTATAAAATACAGTCTTACAACATTTTCCAGTCAAAAAAAATTACAGAAAGCATTTGAAATAGTTAAACTCACGCTGCCTGCCCCTTCAACATACCGCCTTTGGGCATTTTAGCATCTTTTTTCTCAAATTTTTTTTTTTTTTTTTTCCATTCACTCTTTCTTTTCAAAGAATATTTACAGAAAATAGCGAAGTTTTCATTGTGTCGTTGTGGCGCCGCAATCGGCGGCTGATGGCCAACACATTAAAACAAACCATTCACTGTGATGACGGCAGAAAATTTCGATAAAGTACGCTTACGTACAGTCACAAAAAATCACGGAGACACAAAAGAAACGTACACACACACACACTGAAAAGGGATGCTGTAACATCGGCACAAAGGCGAGTGATACACAAATGTGAAAAGTGAAAAGTTTTACTTTTGGATAAAGGGAGAAGGTATCGCCAGCAGACGTGCAGCGTGGCAATATACCTACTTATATACATTAGGGTAGGTAAAAAAAACTTTTTTTTCTGTTGGTACTCGGCAATCCTGAGCTTTCCATTTTAACTGGAAGGTTTTTCCTTGTCATCAAAATAACATGCAAAAAAAATATTTTTTTGTTTTTTTTTACCAGACCCTAATATACATTTATGTATATATTATTATAATATTATAAATTGGGGCAAATCGCTACTTGAATGCTTAGCAGCATTTTCGAGATTTTCTCAATCGTTCAAGTGACTTTCATTGCAAACGAATTTGTGAAAATCACCGGAAAAGCTTCTACATGTGTATGCTCTTAGAGCTTAGCAACAATTCTAGCACTGACGGTTACAAAATCTGTTTTAAGCTATTAGAGTCTACATTACTCATACGCTGTGTCGCACCTTCAGCTTACAAAACTGCTCAGCAACCACATGTGGTGCGTAAAAAATAGTGGTCAGAGTTAGACTCTCGACTAGGCTTAACACATATATATACTATATAGTACAATAACAACAATACAGATGCATATCAATTTCTTAGCTCAATAGCTACTGATTACACACAAAATACGCTAAATGGTGGGCTATTTACCGAAATAACATGCTATAATTGCCTGAAGCGATTGACTGGAATGTGTTTCGCTGCAGTTGGGGTACAGCAAATAACCGCAAATGACATATGCGACCGAAATTTAAAAACGGCAATGCAAAGCAAAAGTATTACTTGAATTGTAATTGAGTCAAAAGAAGAGTGCTCTGCTCTAAAGAAACTCATTTTTGAAAGGAAAGTTTTCAAATACAAAGCTATTACAGTGTAAAATCACTATCGTAAAGTTTGTGCATATATGTCATTTGGAAGATTTTTACGCTGAGTCGCATATATGATACCCCAAATTGCGCTGATTGCGTAGTTAGACCTTTTTCAATCGAGAGATTTTGTTGATATCAGCAGCACCAATAAATGGCTCAATGAGATTACAAACAGGAAGTGCATTTTATATTGGCAAAAGTAATAGTGCTTCTGAAAATTGTAGGTTCATTATTTGCTTGAGGAGTAACCATTTATTTTATGTAACTATAAACTTCAGTGACATTTGTTTTCATCAAGCAGATAAACATAATTAATGAAAAGCGTGCATTTATTAGAAAATGTATTTGGAATATTTAATACAAACTTTGCACTTAATTTTACTTGGCAAAATGTTTTGAAGTGTTGCAACATTCTATGCTATTATTTCGTTCACTAAGTAATTTCGTTTGATGCGAAAAGCTGATCTTATTCTCTTGCAACGTGTTGCTACAGAGTATAATAATTTTGTCTACCTAACGGTTGTACGTATCACCTAAGGATATAGGGTTATTCTTCTTGATTGGCGTAGGTTATAGTCGAGTTTACAATAGCGCGGTCGTTATTCCCTTTCACTGTTTGGCAATAATTGAAGATTCCAAGTGTAACCAAGTCTTTTTTCACCTGGTCTCTCCAACGGAGTGGATGTCTTCCTCTTCCTCTGCTTGACCCGGCGGCTACTGCTTGTTTGATGATAGGAGATATTTCGCCATGCCTTTATTCACTACCAAATCCATTTGCTGTTGTTGAGGCCAATGGTATTAATATCATCGACGTACGTCAGTAGCTATAAACTCTTAAGAAACTCATCTGAGACTGTTGTTCCCTTTTTATTTATATACGTTTTTAC